CCTCTTCCCCCTCTCTTTTGAGATTAGAGCCCTAACCCTGTCCAGTTAGTGAAGGGAGAAAAGATATTCTCCCAACTCGAACCTATTCCTGGGTATGAGCATTTAAGAGAAATACTCTAACTGCAGTAGAGGATGTTAAACTAAATGGATCAAGATGATTAATTTCTAAACTACTGAAGTTAGCACCAGAACCATTTAAATGCCTCATCTTGAGTTATAATCTTGGTCACAATTCTAGCTTGTTCCATGTTCTAAACAAGACACAAAACTAAGCTATGCTTCATACATGAAAAGAGCATCATTCAGATTCCTTCATTACGCTGGATACTAATTTTGAATTGTTTTTTAAATAGAGGTCATATGTCTGTTGAGCCACATATTGTATCTTCCAAGCTTCTTATACCAGATCACATATGACGGCAATATGATTAGCAGGCAATAGGAATACTAGCCACATTCCACACTCCTTGGCAGTTACACTGTTGGGTACTAGTTGTGACCATTCCTGTAGTAAGCTAGTAAAGGACCTTACAAGGGCCAAATCCACAATCTTAGTTTTATTAGCGCCTCTCTAACTTCAGAGCGAATCAACCATACATACATTATCATCCTAGACTATGATTAAACTAAATATCCAATCTGCTATAAAGAAATAGAACATAAAATAAATGCTTTGCTTCAATGATCTGTCTTCAGTGATATTTTCTTCTACAGCAAAAAATATCTGTATTATCTATATTGCAAAAATGAACTATTCTCAACAAAGGAAACAATACAACAATACCCTATAAGAGAAAGCACCACAGCATTGCTGTCCCTAACTTGTCTTTAACATGGCTGTGAAACTCTGAGCAATCAGTCATTGGACAACTCATCTGTAGCAAATTAATCAATTTTAGTTTGCCACAGAGTGATAAGCAAAATTGTGGTACAATTTTTCATTCATTAGATTAAAGCAATCAACTTAAATGAGCTTTGTAACTGAAATAGTTAGCTAAATGTAGTACCCCAAGAATATTTAATAGACGATAACAGTGTACAAAACACTCAATAGTAAAAAAAAAAAAAAAAAAAAAGTGTTACCTTTAATTATTGGGCCATTAGCCACTCTGGATTTAAAAAATTCCTTTCCTCATTAAACAGATAATCTTAAAAAAAAATTTTTAACAATGCTGAACAATGTTAAATTATACAATTACTCACTGAATTACTCAATTAAACCTCATTATTCTATGGATGGAAATTATGTGATACGTGATCTGAAAAACTTAGTTTATTCCTGTAGGACTGTACACACACACTTTCCAAACACTAACTATTGAACCAGATGGATCGACATACATTACTTGATGTACAACAGGTCTTACTGAATTACTCGTGGCCAAGTGGCTGACTTCGGAACCATATGCTAAGACGTAGTTGGTAATTTTCACTCTCTCACTCTATCCCCAGCCCCATTCCAATTTGTAGAGCTATATTACTTTCTGTCACTTTGTCACTGGGCCCCTCTCCTCTGCTGTCATTTCTGGTGCTTATCATCCACTACTGTTACTGACCTTCTTTGCCATTCTCCATCTAGCCACATTCAAATGCTATACTGCTATCCAAAACCTTTCTGTTTCTTCATCATTTTTACCTCTTCTGTGATAAGTGAAATAAGCCAGTCACAAAAAGGCAAATGTTGTAGCTTCCACTTATGAGTTACTTAGAGTAGAGACAGAAAATTCACAGACGGAAAGTAGGCTGGTGATTGCTGAGGGAAGGGGGGAATAGGGAGTCAGTCAATGTTTAGAGGGTATGGATTTTTAGTTGAGGAAAATGAAAAGTTCTGGAGATGGATGGTAATGATGGTGTTTAACAGTGTGAATGTACTTAATGCCACTGAAATGTACAGTTAAAAATAGTTAAAATGGTAAATCTTATGTATATTTTACAAAAAAAAAATGAATGAAAAGTAAAGTTGATATAGAGCAAGAAGTACTTGCTACTCGATTATCAATGGCTAGTGTGAAAACCCAATCTGACTCGAATAGCACAAGTTACATAGAAGCGAGTAAATGGGGTTTAAGTTTGTTAGTGCTAATAAACATCTAAGGACATCAGATTCTCCTCAAAGAGGTCTGTTCAGAAAAGCTGAGAAAAATAGGTTGTCGATAAATAAGATCTCCCATGCACACACCAAATCACTGAAAAAATATTCACTCTCAAGATTTTTAAATACTAATGCCTCTGATTCGGGCCACCATTTACAAAATGTACTTACAGAACTTTCGATTGTTTTTTTAAGTATACACAGTTAAGAAGTTTTTTTTTTTCTTTTTTTTCCCTCTTTTCTTTGGGAAAAAGCCCTCTCCCTCAAACTCAGATAATTATCCTGAAACTGGTGACTCTGGTCTTCTGGCTATTATAAAGATCATTGAAGCTTGGCGTTCTTCTTGGTCCACTGTAGGCAGAAATGGCTTTAGGCTGGGCAAGGCCGTTAGAGTCCAAGACGGGAGAAGATTTTTAACCCAAGGGTTTTTTTTTCTTTAAGAAATATATTAACCAAGCCTGTTTTCCCTTACTCAATAGACAAATCAATAATAGAAACGTAACTAGATATATGATTTAAATAACATTTGTATCTTGTTTTTTTTTTTTTTTTCCTTTACTAGGGACAGAGGCAGCATTTCGACGGGATAATCT